CCCGAAGTCACAGCGGGAGTGACGTGGACGCTAGTGATGACCACTGCGCCATCATCTACTGTGTCTCTAATGGCTGACGGGTTGGCACCTGAGGCGGTAACTGCGTCCCTTCTGGTGCCTTCCTCATCTCTCCTCTGTTCCCTCCCGCAGTCACAGCGGGAGTGGCGTGCACGCTAGTGACGACGTGAACGCTGTTGACTGGAGTTGTTGCCAATGAGTTGTTGTAGACGTAGGCCTGTATGTCGATGTCGAGGTAGCCGATCATGATGTAGCTATGGTCGAGGTAGCCGTGGTCGATGATGTAGTCATCGCGGATGATGAAGCCGCACAAAGTCAGAGGCGCAAAAAAAAGCGCTATGTTGTAGATGACGGAGCTGCAGTCATGGACAATGCACCTTGCGGATGTCAGAGGGTGCCGTCAGCGATGAGTCCACCGGTTTTGCCAGGACCGGAGGAAACCCATCGAGCACACATAGGTTTTGCCAGAACCGTATGGCCGTGTAGGGTCATCACTGTAGTGACGCCGTGTCGATGCAGTCGTGCTGTTGTGGATGACGCGGTCGATGCCATCGTGGTGACGTGATCACTGCTGTCGTCGTGCTCACGTCTTGCAGAAAAGTCTGTCAGAGGACGCTAGGTGTCTATTTTGTGGACAAGGCATCGACGATGTGTTGACGAAGATGTTGGTGAAGACCTTGGTGATGAAGTGTCGGCGATGGCGCCGCAGCGACTGTGTCGATGATAATGTGTCGCTTGAAGGTATCCCTTGTGATGACTAAGTGTCGATACCGTGTCGTGCCAAAAAAGTCGATGAAGATTGCATCTCGTTCCACACCGGTCTGATGTGTGGATGGTGCATGTTGAGATCGCTTCTGTAGATGTGCTCGATGAAGATATTTTTTTCTCAGGCACGCTGAAGTCCTACAGCTTGGTGTCGCTCGGTTCGGAAGATGTCGGCGTTGATGCAGATTGGTTCGGTGTTTCTGCAGAAATCAGACTTGATGTAGATCGCTTGATACAGGCGCCGGTTGGCGGCTGGTGTGTCGCTCAGGCACGCGGCCCTCCCGGGGTCGATGCCCGCGTATGCGCGACCGGAGGTGCAGCTGGCGGTTGGCGGCGATGGCTTGTGTGGGCATGAGGAGGCACGTGTTGGAGTCCAGGTTTTGCTGCATGCATCTCCTTGCACGAGATTGGTTTGCATGGCCAGGTGCATGATTCGTGGATGGATATGTGTGCATGCAAGCTTGCTTTGCATGGACGTACTTACAGATGGCTGGACGAACCTTTGGTGAAGCTTGATGTCGAGGGGCAAGGTGATGTGCGGTTGATGAAGATCGGATCGCATGCCTCTTGGAGGAGCCGGCGGCCGCTGTTCTGGATCACACTCGCACGATGGTGTTGACATCTGTGCGCGTGGCCAAATTGAGGAGGGCACCGTGCCGCTCATAATAGATCGATCCGTGGCGTTGTTGACGTCGTAGCCGAGGGATCGATCCGCTGTTTGTCGGCAGGTGGTGTGCGCTATCTGCGGCGCATGGCTCGGAGCAGCAGCACATGGTACCCCACGTCCATGGTTGCTGGCTTGAAGTTGCGTCGGAGGTCGTTGGCACCGGGCCGCCGAAGCATTTACTTTTGCTGAAGATTTTCGCCGGATAATGGGGTAGATCAATAGGTTTATTTGAAGGCTATGGAAAACTAATCTAATTGGATTTTAAAAACCAAAATTGGATCTAAACTACAAGACCAGTCTAATCTTTGATTTCCCGGGTGCCACGCCCCCTGGAAGAGGAGATTAATCTCTCCGGGGGCGGCGCGCTGCGGAAGTAGTGGAAGAATCTAGGATCGACGTCGTTGGACAAACCGCTCTAATACCGTATGAAAAATATAAAACCCTAAAGTTATGTGTTGTATTGATCTCATGATCTGTCCCTCGTAGGGATATATATAAAGTACAACGTGGAAGAGGCTTGAAGTACAAGGCAAAATATTGTGTGTCTAAACTAAGTCTATCTGTATCTCCTTATTTCTAGCTAATTACATTTATACTTCTAACACGCAGAAGCCGTGTATGCTTTGTGTACTAGACTTATGGACATACACGGCTTATATGTACGCCGTTTGTTCTTGAAGGCACACGAGCTTAGCATATACTCAGCTTATGGCCATCCCACGTGGCGTTCATTAGTGCGGCCGACCGTGATCTCGCTCTTGTTGCCGTGTGCCAGCGCATAATACTCGGTTTATGCGTAAGCCGAGTGCCCGATAACTGACACTTAACTTAGCTTATCGGCGCTAAGCCGATCAAATGTAAGCTGTGTGTTGTACGTCGAGTGTAACACTCGGTGTACTGTTTGCCTGGTTTGAAATGTCTTTTATCATGTATGAAACATACCGGAAAATGCCTTTGGTGATCGAGCTCACTGGAGGTCTTCAGATTCAAAATTCAAATTTCTTCAAAATTTATATTTTTACATTTCAAAAAGTTCTAAAAAAATTACAGATATACATGAAGGCATAACACACATGTGTGTAGAATTTCAGGGCAAAACACGTTGAAATGAGGGCTGTGCAAAAAAGACAAATCTAGGGCTGTTTAATACATGATACTATTCATCCTCTCAGGCCATGAATTCGTCTTCTTTGTATAGGTCGCATTTCAATGTATTTTATCATGAAATTTTACACACATGTGGGTTACATCCTTACATACATGCATAATTTTTTTCAAAATGTTTTGTAACATAGAAGTTTGAATTTAAAATTTTCAAAAACAAAGGCCTCCATGGAGCTCGGTCACCAAAACGCCATTCTCTGAAACATACACGGCTTACAATGTTTTTCCTGCAGTGTGGGTTTCAATATGCCTTCAATCTTTCGTCTTGAATACTCCCTCCGTTACAAACCAGACATTTATTTAGAAGAAATGCAAAATTTGGCGCTAGCCCAGGTCACCGATGTGTTGTTGGCGATCATCGTTGTCCTATTCTGCCTTCATTCTCACGGCTGCTCCTGACAAGTTGCTATCACCGTACGTCTTTGTTGCTGCAATGAGCAAGGATGAGGCAAACCTGTTGGAGGATGGTAGGCGTGTGCCGTAGCAACTTGACACGAGCATAGGTTTTAGAGAATGTTGAGCCGTGCGTGCTGTGTCTCTATTGTACTTGAACTCTTGAATTCTCATGAACTCTTCTACTGGCTATCCGTTAACCATCCTGCCGTCCGTAACTAATAAATACAAGCATGGGCATAAGCAAGGCTTGTGCATCTACGCTCTTTAGCACCATGCACTAGCTAGCAGGAGCAAGATCAGGGTTAAGAAACTTCCTATATGTCTGAGGCGGCTTTCAAGGCGGCCTCCATCTTTTGCTTTCGAGGGGTGCTCATTGAAGATGGTATTTGTACTCGCAAGAGAGTGAAGTTGTTAGATGTGTTTTTGTGATGTCCTTACACTTTTCGACCTCGATGTCGATATTAACAGCTGGTGGTTGTGTGAACCCTTGAGAAATCCTATTCCACAATAAAATTGTGGATAATGCTCACATGCATGGGCGACCTATGAAGATCTTGATCGCTTAGCTTGGCTCGTTGCTCCGCTCACTTATTTTTTCTTTTCGCCCGCTCTACTGCTAGCTAAAACTATTGTTTTATAGTTGAAAATTTTAGCTAAATCAGAAGATCTTCCATAATTTAGAAAATGGGCCCAAGATGTGTCAGGAGGCTTCAAATCTAAGGGAGCTTAGGCCAACTCTAACCGATTTCCTATCTGACGTTAGAGGAGGATAAACTTCATTTTTCTCCAGTAACCAGCACCCAACAGATCCCCTGAACTGAATAGCAGAGGATATTTTATCCTCCGGCGTCTATCCCGCGCCCAAATTTGCTCGGAAGCTACTGCTTGGAGGAAAAAATCTTCTACCCTATGATGCCTCACCCATCCAGCTCCAACGCCGCATCTACGCCGATGCCATCCTGCGCACCCCCGCCGCCATGGACGATCCATAGGCCCCACCATGGTCCTTGCCCTCAGATTTGTGTCTCTCTCGCGCCATCACCAGTGCAGAATCGGTAGATCTATTGCTACCATCGCCGGCAACGAGGCCTTTGCCATGGATTGGCCGGTTACTGAACCACACAGCCTGACAATGCCTCTGCATCGCATGCAGGTATGGCCTTCGCCTGTAGCCACACGGCTCTCACTTGTTGGAGGTTCGCCGGTAAAGACACGCCCGACTGTCGGCCGGGCTTGGCACTACCTGCTCGTCGGCTCCTCATTGCCGGTCAAAGTGCTACGACTGCCCGTGCAGGTGGTGTGCCGCGTTTCCATCACGCCAGAACACCCCGGATGGGTGTTCTTCAAGTGCAAAAAAGATGGGGTGAACACCCCCGATAGGTGTTCTTCAAGTGCAAAAAAGATGGGGTGAGTGCTTCTTTTGATTCAGTTGTATTTTGGATTCGGCGCCGTTTGTAGCTCATTGATTGCTCAAATTTATGTGTAGGATGGATGTAAATTTTGGCATTGGAAAGAAGGATATATCGATTTATTAATAGCGAGAAATGAAAATAAAATAATTGTTTTACTCCATTATATTTAGGGGATCAGCTAGGTCCGTCTAATACTTAGTGGAGTAAAAATACTTCTTCAGTTTTAGAGGATTCGGTTAGAATTGCCCTTAGTACGTGAATAAATGATATCACCGTCTCTGTTGCTTTCAAATGGGCGTGGACAAGTAAAGATGAGGCAAAGGAGGATGGCGTGGACAAGTAAATTAAAGATGAGGCAAAGCTGTTGGAGGATGGCGTGGACAAGTAAAGATGATGCAAAGCTGTTGGACGATGGCGTGGTGTCCCTTAACTCGTCTACTGTCCGCGACGCTTAAATACGAGCTACCGCGCACACGACCCAGGCCAGAGGTCTTTGCTCGTTAGCGCCATCACACTTGCTAGCAAAGGAGCGTAACACGTTGCGAGATATTTCTTTTTTGAGGGAAACGCGTTGCGAGATGGTTGCTTCGGTATGGTTCTTCTTATGGCTGGCCTCCCTCGGTGCCCTCCAAGTTTTCGCTCTCAGCATACGCCTCCTCGCCAATCTCGTGCTCTTCCTGCGCCGGCCCAAGGATCTCCGTCGCACATACGGAGCCTGGGCTGTCGTCACCGGGCCAACATCAGGCATCGGACGTGCCATGTCCCTGGAGCTCGCACGGTCTGGCCTCAATCTTGTCCTCGTCGGTCGTAACCCCGCCAGACTCCGCGACATCTCCGAAACGATCTCTAGGACATACGCAATGCAGACCAAGACCGTGTTGTTCGATTTCTCCCTCGCATCCACTGCGCAAGGTATTAAAGTATGGAAATCCTATCTGGCGACCGTTCGCTGGCAAATGGGTGACAAACGAACCCCTTTTAGTGGCAGTTTTAGTTGTGAGATAAGATTAAATGGTGGAAGTTATAAGCAAAAAATTTCCTTCTCTGACAGAAAGTGTCATGTCGCTCTGAACAAACTGTCATCACCCATAACTAAAAATGCGACAAAATCGTTAGCAAATGCCGCTATGCCGGTCGCTCCTTCTCTATCGCGGGGGGTTGCGTTCCCCGAATCCACTGACGCGAGTTGCAAATATAGACAACTTGCCAATAGCAAACGAGTAAAAATCAGTACGAATAGTATAGAGTGTGTGCCCGTCAGATCACAGACCGGTCGTCTCATATCGTTCGATCTTCTGCAGGCGACGAGGCGATGAGTCGCCTCCGGGAGGCCATCGCGGGACTGAATGTAGGGATGCTGGTGAACAACGCCGGGGTGGCGAAGCCGGGCGCGGTGTACCTCCACGAGGTGGACGTGGAAGCGTGGGTGAGGATGATACGCGTGAACGTACTGGCGCTAACGGAGGTGACAGCGGAGGTGCTGCCAGGGATGGTGCGCCGGGGCAGGGGTGCAGTCGTGAACATCGGCTCGGGCTCAGGATCAGTCCTTCCCTCCCACCCTCTTTACTCTGTCTACGTCGCCACTAAACGGTACATTGCAGAGTTCTCCAGGAGCCTCTCCGTGGAGTACCAGAGCGCAGGCATCGATGTGCAATGTCAGGTACGTAATCAGTGCGTGGCGCTCACATCCATCGTGTCACCAGATTACCTTTGGTAGTGTCATGTTTGCAGATCCCATTCGTGGTGGAGACGAACATGGTGTCGAGTGCCGTGAAGAACAGCTTCTTTGTTCGGCCGTGGGTGCTTAGCCCGGACACCTACGCACGAGCGGCAGTGCGCTGGATCGGGCACGGGACGCTGTGCATCCCCAACTTCGCGCACCGCCTCCAGTGGTGGTTCACCTGTCTCTTCCCGGACTCCTTCAAAGACATGAACCTCCTGAAGCGGAATTTGCAGCACAGAGCCATCTTTAGGAGGATCAAGCCGTTGAGGGAAACGCGGGCGAACTCACGGGAGTGACAAGATCGGTGCTGGTGTTCCCTCTGATCAAGGTGGTTCAGAAATTCAGAGTTCATAGTTGAGGAACACGGGGCTACTTGACTGTGTTGTGCCGAACTTAGAGCATCTCTACTCAATCTCTAAAAAATCAGTCTTTTTTTATATGATCAATTATACTTTAACTCCTTACATTTAATCTGTCAAAAAAGAAGAGTTCCTAGCCGAACTCTTAAATTTAACTCCCTAAAAAATGGACCCTGGTATCTATATCTGCTGAACATTCGATAGGAGCACCCAGGATACCGAACAAGGCGTTTGGGGCGAGCCGTTTTATAGACTGAACAAAAGCATTCATTCTGGCAACCCAAGATCCCGAACACACGCGACACCACCGCGGCGCTCAAGCGAGACCTGAATTTCATCGAGGGTGCCCGAAAAACCTCTTCAACCTCAGATCCCCATCGTCGCACCACCCTAACCCCCAACTTCCCCCGATCCCCTCTGTTGTTCTTCCTCGTTCTTGAAGCTTTCATGAGAAGAGCGGATGAACCCTAGGATGATCTCACACTACTAGAAAAACATATGTTGCCTTGTGTTTCTCCATATGCCGAGTGTATATTATCGGCCGACCGGCTTACACATCTGTAAGCCGTGTATCAATGGTGCGGCACACGGCAATGACCCCTGGACCTGGGCATACCTCCACGTACGGCGTGACACGGCACAAAAACGCTCGTTGTATAGAAAAAGACTCGATGTATTTAGGAGAAATCTGAGTGTGTACTTGGAGCACACGGCAATCACCCGGGCCATGTCGCCGTGCTTGTCCATGTTGACGCCACCGTGATGGGCGGCATGTAAGCCGTGCGCCGCGCTTGTACACTATGTCCCACCAAGTATTTACATGGCGTAATTACAGCTGCCAGCCTTTGACTGCATACCCTTGCTCACACACAATGACGCCGTCTCGTCATCGCACCTCGTGGTCGGGCGGATTCCGTTGCCAGTAGCCATTAATGGCGGCATAGTGCCGGGCACCTATCGGCCACCTACCCCCCTCCCACCCCCACCCCACCGCTCCTACAAATGCGACTCCTCTCCCCATCGATATCCCACATAGCTCGCTCCTGCTGTCGAACTTAGACAGCCAACGCGCCTCGCCTCCTCACCCAATGCTACGATGCCTCGCCACGACCATGAAGCCGGTGACGGGCCTAATTTTACCCAGCTCTGGGCTCTACGAGGAGATAAACCCTATGTCTTGCTTGGTGTTGTATTGTGTTGGGGTATAGTACATACTATAGTGTCTACCACGAGATTGTTCTTGTCTAGTGGAGAGGAGTCATCCACGGATAAGGAGTTCTTGTCCCAAACGGCAAGGCTTCTGGAATCTTCCTTGTATGTGTCATGGGCCACCCAAAGTGGCCCCGGATGGATCCTGATCTCTGGGTCCTCGGCCCGGCCCGCCAGTCCAGGGAGTTGACATGGTGAGAGGCCCCATAGCCCGGACACTATAAGTAGCCCATGAACCGATCTTGAAGTCTAGCTGCACCTCGTCTTATCCGAGTTTCTGGTTGTCTTTGGTCGCTGGTCTTGAAACTAGTTCAACAACAACTTTCCACCATCAGTGTCTTCTTGCAACCAAGTTTCTACACCGGACTGCATCCGAGGTAAAGTAGAACACCTTGGTCCTGAAAATGTTGAAGGAGTATAGCCGAGCTACATGCAGGAAAAGTCTTCCATGCAGCCAACCGAACAGTCAGCCTCCACCAATCTGAATAAACTCCACATATTTCTATTTTACTTCCATCTTACTAAGGTTGACAATGACTGGTGTGGTGTACTATTATCGCAACGACTTCCACTAGATCCTCATTGTTATATTCCCAAAGACTGCCTCATCCTTATTCTTGGATTTGAATAAAGCATTCAAGAGAAACTACAACGAACTGAATAGATGAAGCTCTAAACATGTTCGATGGCATGGAAGAAAGAGAAACAATGAAGGCATTGTGCGGTACGGCCACAACACAACCTTATGTTGCATTCAACAGCCTGAAGACGCAAGGATTTCCCCTTGGTACGTCATGTACCACATGTAAGAATTCACAGGGATCATAGGACCTTTTCCCACCGAAGGATGGCGCCACCAAATGGGGTTCAATCCCTTGCCGCTCTCACACGTGATGACTCCAGAGTCGATTTCAAACAGATCCAATAGACACTCGTCAAAATCATCAACAAGGACGTCTACGGTGAGACAGGGATCTTCTACGGCGGTGGCGTATCAACCCTTCAGGAGCACCTTCATTGCTACATTCCTTCCCGGAAGCAGTGAACACGTGATGTTGTGTTTAAAAATAGATCAAACATTGTTCCTAACTTGACCGTGTAGCTATACTTACCATACCTTTCATGTAGTTGCTACAATTAAGTCTTTATGATGCATGCTGGAAGTTAGCAATTATCTTTACACGAGTAACCTTACTTCCTATATGTTGCTATATATCTTTGATATGGGTGATTCAAGCTGATATTTGCTCTCTTCATTACCGAACGTCAAAGATTCGTCAATAGCAACTTCAACGACGCCGGGCCGCTGCCCCATGCAAAGCCGCCGCAGTCAAATGCATACTTATAATTCAACCACATATCGATGCCTTATGTAATGTGTGAATTCAATACTTTAATTACTTAAAGAATTATTTTCATATGATAGACACAACCTTTGTAAACAAATATAAGACGTTTTAGAGACTTGACATAAGTCTGCAAAAGTCTTATTTTTTTTCACAGAGAAAGTATGTGACAAAAAATGTGTAAATGCTACCACAATGGCAAATGTTGCAGTGGCAGACAAATTTTGGCCTCCAAAATATACTAGCAGCGGGCGCAAAAGCATGAACGTAACCAACGTGCTGACAAATTAGCGGCGCCCTGCAATCTTGAACGCAGCTTGTTGCTAAATTGCATGTCGCGTTCAAACATGACGAACGGTGCTAGTTCGGACCTAACGGCGGCATTCGTGGAGCGGACACTTCTAGTAGCTGCATTACCAGCGGTGTTCACAGGGTGCGCCACTAGTATCCAGTTACCAGCAGTGTAGTAGTAGCAGTGTGCCAGCGAAACACTGCTAGTAGACACTTATGCACGTTGCTGGTTAGGGTGTCCTATACTAGTATAGTGATCAATTCTTTATGATTTATTCATGATGTGTGAGTAGTGTCCACGGGCTAACGGCTAAGACATAGCCTCACAGCCCGATGTACGCCCATAAAGGGAATGTCAGTTTACTTTTTGAGAGGACATTCTTTCTATGTGTTGTTCAATGATTTTGTATCTTGTCTCGACCTTGATCCCTAGGATCGCAGGTACCTGAGATACTGAAGATTGGAACAAGGAGAGGTAAAGTGCTGAGTGGAGCAGGAAGCTATGCTAAACGTCGATGGCACTAAGATTAGTACGGTGACCAAAATCAAGTCTCTGGGGTAGATATGGTCTAGTCATACAAAAAATGCCTACTGCATTGGTGTCGTTATCCTTAATATCTGAGCTGACCACGTAAGTTAGATAAGTCCTTGGATGGACTATAGTACCACGGCTCGGCGGCAGCTAGCCGTGGGGTTATTAGGACACATCTCCCGCATAATTCATGCACAAGATATATGTAATGTTGTACCATTGCTAGGTTGATTTCTCTAGATTGTCTCCCTAGCAGATGTACACGGCTGCAGGTGAAAACTTAAGCCCTATCCTATTACTTTATTATTGTATTTTAATCGCCTCTCCAGTTTGTTCAAGGAACTAAAGCATTTTGAGATGACAAGTACTTGCAAATATTTCCTTGCGAACGATCATCACTACCTAGATTCAATAAATTCTAGGGTCTTTGGGGAAGAAGGCTACATCTACATCTAAAACCGGATCGTAGGTATGTCACTTCCGTTGACATGGATCCCTTTGTCGTGAGGTGCCGGAGGAATGCCACCAACGTGATACCCAAGGAGCAATCAACATTCGCTTGTGCCGAGTAGAGATCTCGGGCCATGGGGGAGACATCCTCCTCCTAGGGTGGTGCCACTATGATGTAACACAATGCGTCCTGATTCATTGGAGCCTCCTAGTATTTGGTTGGGGGATGCAGAGCTCTCCTTCCCTGAGGGCACTCATCCCAAAAGCTCGTCGCCGGTTTAGGGATGAGATTCTGGATTGTTGTGTGACAAGAGGCATTCTTATACACATGCAACTTGCCAAAGTCGTCATACGGAAAATCCGACACTTGAACTTGAAGATTTGTTCCCTAGCAAAGAAAGTAGTGAGGATTCGTCTCTCCGCCCCGTCGAGGACGAAGTGCAGGGAACTAAGGGAGAGATCCCGGCCCGATGAGAAGCCACTAATATTCTGGGTTGGAGTGGCCATCTACATCCGATCAGCGGATCCGAGCGCACCATCTCTACTGGCGCGTCAACTGTCGGTGGCTCTCCGAGAGGAGGTAAGACCTTATTACAGCAATTTGTGGTTGGATTGCCCAAGTACTCACCGGCGATCAGGAGGATTACTAGAGAGATCGGTTTCTTGGGTTACAAGCACTCTGTCTGACAACTGAGAGGAAGAAAATGGAGGTAGGTGAGAACTCTAACCCTATAATGATATAGCATATGTTTTATGACTTCGTACCCTCCATAGAATGCCTTATATATTCGGTAAGGCTAGGGTTACATCAGCTGGACTGACCCAAGGTGGGTTGGCCACATATGTAGCACCCATGCCCGTTAGATATCTTTCCCAAGCTCCATAGGGTGGCGCAATGGTCGTCTTGAATATTCGGCTCGGGTGGTTAGCTTGGCCCGGTGAAAGGGCTGGACACTATGCACATGCAGTAGGTAGAAGCAGCAATGATAGCGATGTAGCATGGGCGGGGGCATGCCGGTATAGGGTAGGACATCACTAGAGGCGGTGTTAGCCATGGCCAATCTAGGCATGCTGATATCGAACACGAGCACCACGAGTCCAGTAGTGGC